CTTAATCTATTCCAGTTAATAAGCATTATATTTGACTACCTCTAGCACTCGCGGTTTCCCTCCAAATAAGTGTTGATATGGTTCCATCTGATTTTATTGATCGCTTTTGTCCATGTCAATTACTATATTTTCTAATATCGGGCAAGAAATTTGCTCTGCTAATCTAACAAGCTTGCAAACATGCGTTATATAATGTCTTCATGAATGTCTACTAGTTGTGAATTCCTACGTTACCTTGTCAGTTGTGGTCACCTACGCTGCGGCTCACGGCACTCAATGGTGTTGCAACGTTAGCTTTTTCTCCAAATCTAGCAGATTTGCCTGTGGGCGTGTAGCCGATTAGCTGGGAAGGAAGGCGTGGTGCGGTGGAGAGCAGCAGGGTGCGGAGGACGGGCGATATAGCGAGAGGAGAGGGGCAAAGTGTGTTAGTGCGCGACGCGTGGGGTGGGGGGGGGCACCGCTCGTGTTAAAACCGCAGGTAAACCTGCTAGATTCTGAGCAAAAACAAAGCATAACGTTGCAACACCTGAGTGTCGTGAGCCGCATCGGGTATATACAAAGTATTTTGTCAAGACAGTTTCAAAAATTAAAGTGTACGTCGACCAATCTTGAATAAAAACTAGTATAGTTGGGGAGGCCATGTACTGAGCTTACTATAGACGTATAAGACTAGAGCTGCTGACTAGAGCTGTAGACTGTAATAAACCGACCATCCCTGGGCAGTTAGGCTGTTCGGTCAGTTAGTGGCTAGGGCGTGCTAGTTTTTGCGCTTGTCCTTGCGCTGCTAATCTTTACCAAGATGCTTGCAAACATTGCTTTATGCATGTCTGTAAACTTGTACGCCCTCCCATTGATACACATGTAATACGGTTTATAACGGCCTATTTAACCATGCCGCCCCTCCTCCGCACCACATAGCCCGTCCTCCGCACCATGCCGCCCCTCCTCCGCACCATGCCGCCATCCCCGTACTGCGCTGCCTACCTCCTTCCGCGCGCGCGCTCGTGTGCGTGTGTCTGTGTGTGGTGGGGGGGGGGGGGGGGCTGGTACGTGTGTGTGTGTGTGTGTGTGTGTGTGTGTGTGTGTGTGTGTGTGTGTGTGTGTGTGTGTGTGTGTGTGTGTGTTTGCGTGAGCGCGCGCGTGTGTGTATGTGTGTTAGCAAGATGAAGATATCGCTAGCAAAAGTGGAAAATGCGGTAAAACCTAAACGGATTTTCCACAAAAACTGTCTCGGGGGAAATCTGTAACAAAGCTGTACTAAAACCCAAAGACATGCACGTGGCGCCTATCAATTTCTATAGCTTAGAAAATCTTTAAACTTGGTCATAATAAGAAATGTGTGTATCGAAAGTACCTTCCTATGTTGTTTTCGGGTTACACAGGCTTATGTATAGCTCAGTGGGTGGGAGCACACGAACGCTCTCCAGCGGCCTGTCCGTAAATAATCTGCTAGTAGGACCCCACAGCCAAACCTGCTAGATGTTTTAACGTTGCAACAACATTGAGTGCCGTGAGCTGCAGCATAGGTAACCACAACTGACAAGGTATGTATATATAACTAGCGGTCATTCATAAAAGAGAATTTACAAAGTATTTTGTCAAGGCTGTTTCGAAAATCGAAGTATTTGTCGACAAATCTTAAATATAAAACTAGTAAAGTTGAAGAGGCCATGTACTGAGCCTACTTCATCACTGGGCAGGGCGTGTTAGTTTTTTCCGCTTGTCCTGAATAATCAAGATTGTTATATTGCAATAGGTCCTCGACATTGCACGTGCTAAATTACGCAATCACTGAGAGATGATTAACTGATCAATGAATGCACAATATAGTTAGGCTCAACCAATATTTGAATTTCGTGTAACGACGTAAACACAGAAAGAACATATAGCAAACTACGGCAGCAGCTAACGTAAACGATGTAGCCGTAGTTCGGACGCATACAGGAAGGTGGCAATCGAAGAATAACATGTAAACCTGCAATTCAAAATTAAGGAAAAATACTTGAAATGTAATAATGATCAGTAGTAGTCTGCATTCAACACAATTCGTCAATTCATTTAGGCCGCCAATGTGCGCGAGGTCTGCGTATCACAGTTATTCGGCCCGACTAAGATTCTAGCACTGAAATTATTACAGAATCTCGTAAATTTCACTGGATCAATTGCAGCCTGATAAGCTGACATAATATTCACGTTCAGAAATTTAGTTCAGGCAGTGGTAATGCTACAGCTAGTCGTGAATCGATCATATTCCAGCTACCTTATTTTTCGGAATGAGGACAATCCCCCCCCCTCCCTCCACAATAATTCTCCGGACAATCACCACCCCTGGACAATAATTCCCCGGACAATCACCCCCGCACACAAATGCCCCCGAAAAATTTGCCTACGGACAATCTCCCACCCCTTCCGGAAAATTTGAAAAAATAGGAAAACAACCCACGGACAATCACCCCCGGCAATAACCCCCGGATAATCATTCCATCTCCGGACGATTACCCCCAAACAATCATCCGCCGGACACTTACTCCCTGAACAATTACCACCGGACAATCGTCTATCGGGAAATTTCCCCAGACAATTCCCCCCCCCCCTGGACAATTTTCCCTCGGACGATTACCCGCGGACAATTACCCCCGTACAATTAGCTCATTTTAATCTCAGATATCAGAGACTATTTTCACATTCTACTATATATTACTATCATAGACTTTATAATTGATTCTAGTTCCTATTCTAGTCTGTTCTAGCTTCGCATTCGTTCAATACGCAACATGGCGTCAGCTATGCGTGTAGCGGTGATCGGGGCGGGAGCGGCCGGCATATGTGCGTCGCGATTCCTCGCCGCCAGACGTGACGCCTTCGAGCACGACGTCTATGAGTTGTCTGAGAGCGTCGGCGGCACCTGGGTCTACACCGACAAGACCGGGAAGGACGAGTATGGTCTCGACATCCACTCGAGCATGTACAAGCAACTGCGCACCAACTTTCCAAAGGAACTGATGGGCTACCTGGATAAAGATTTCAACGCCGACCTGCCAACCTTCGTCAGTCACTGGGACGTCAGGGAATACCTGGACGACTACGCGAAGAAGTATAACGTGATGGACCATGTACAGTTTCTTACCATCGTAACAAAAGTTGTCCCGATTAGCGACGATGCGAATGCGACGTGGGAAGTAACGGTGCGCCACCTACAGACGAATGTCGAGACGACGCACATCTACGATGCCATCTTCGTCTGCAACGGACACTACTCCGTGCCTCAGATGCCGGCTCTGCCTGGTGCCGACACGTTTACCGGCAAAATTCTACACAGTCACTCCTACCGGGAGCCGAGCGTCTTCGACGGACAGACGGTGGTGTGTCTGGGCGCCGGTTCATCGGGGACTGACATCGGTATAGAGGTCGCCACCGTGGCGAGTCGCGTTGTGCTCAGTCACAACATGGCGCCCATCGTCTGCCCGATGCCTGACAATCTCGAGCAGTTGCCTGGGGTTGAGCGGCTAGAGGGCGACACGGTCGTGTTTATCGGCGGAGAGCGACGGCGTGCTGATGTCGTAATGTTCTGCACTGGCTACGAGTACACCTACCCGTTCCTGTCACCGGCGTGCGGGCTCGTCGTGGAGGAGAAGATGCGCGTAACGCCCATGTTCAAGCACTGCGTCAACATCCGTCACCCGTCCATGTTTCTCATAGGGCTCCCCAGGCTTGTGGCACCATTCATCGTATTTCAGTATCAGGTGCTGTTCGCACTTGCCGTGCTCGAGGGAGCGCTGTCGCTGCCCACGAAAGATCTGATGCTAGCTGAGGAGACGACCGAACTGCAGAAAAAATTTGCGAAGGGCTGGAAGAAGTCGCATGCCCACCTGATGGATACCGACCTTCTGGAAGAATACTTGGCCGATCTAGCTAAGCTTGGTGCAGTGCACCCATTGCCCGCAGTAAAATCTGATCTCTACAGATTCAGTACGGATCTCAGACTTGCGCATTTAATGTCCTTTAGGAATGCCACCTATCAATTAATTGACGATGAAAGCTTTGAGTTTACCTACCAAGACAAAGATGCCTGTATGAATTAGATGCATAATTATATCTATTAACTAGAGCAGAGGGAGATTTTTCACCCTTCTCCTAATTTGATTTCTATATTTGTTTGTTAATTATTGTTAATTTGTTTTTTTTATTGTTGATTTTAGTGAGCTGATGTAGCCTAATCAAATTCGTTTTGTTACAGGCCAGATTGATTCTTTCTACGTTGAAAAGGTCACAGATTCCCACATTAAAATTTAGTCTAAGAATTCGTTTTGGTCTAATGGGAGCTAACTGCACCGTAAACACGGTTCACTTTTTTAATAATATTATATTATATCATTACATATGACTATAGAACCAGGAGTGTGAAACCAAATCACGTTGTAAAACTGGATAACTCCATTAATATACATCGATGTAACAATCTAAATATAATATAAATATAATATTGATTCTCAACAGGGTCCATGACTCAAAAATGGTTAAGAACCACTGCGTTAATGTCTAAGAAGGTCTACGCTAATATTTTAATTTCTAAGCGCGCGTGGGCACGCTAGCTATAGCTACTCATCGATTGAACGACCACACATGCAGTTCATGCATCCAGCAACATAATATAACAAAACATAACATAACATAATATAACAAAACATAACATAACATAATATAACATGCGGTTGCTGTGTTCGCGCCATTCATGCCAGACAAAAAGACGCCCGGCACCGTTAGCCATCAACTGTGCGTCAATGTGATCGTTATTCGCCGCTTGTCATCTCCCGAGCCGACCAGCGTCTATGTGTCCACGCACATACAATACAGTATCTGTAAAGTGGACTCTCACGCACATACATCACAACTTCTTATCACAAAATCACGCCCTAGACACGCATACATTCATCCTATGATACAGTTTTGCAGAAGAGGAAACGTCCGGGAGGTTAGCACCGTGTCTAGTCGGCGACAACATGACCGCACCTCGACTCTACTACCAGAATGAAGGAATTACTGGAGCAGGATACTACAGCGAAGTCATGATCGGTTGTCGTCAGATCACCAAGCAAGCCTCGCAGCTTTGTCTTGACGCCATCGGTAGGAGGAGAATTACATCTAGATTAGAATCGATGGGAAAATTCCTTAAATACACGAACAGAATCAATAGTAAAGAATAAACACAAAAAATCCTCCTATTGGTCAATCATAGCTACGCCCACGACTGCATTCATCCAATGGCAGTTTCGCCGTACACTTAATCTATGGATTTGTCGCTACAGCTCTCTGTCTCACAGCACATCTATTCCTAATCTAGCAGTACTAATTAAGGTTCTCTGGCTGTTGCAATACAGAATTCATAACCATGTTGTTGGGCTTCAAAGTAATAAAGCTTACTACAGCTGTATATATGTGTAAGAATATGTTTAAAACATAAAGATTTCAGTAAAAGAACAGTGAGCAATTAATCACAAAAACGGCTGCACTGACCTCTCTTCTAGTCGCTAATCTGGAACAAATATAAATCATGAAATATGATGTATGCACATGCGCGCTGTCTCTCCTTGTTTAATACAGCTCCTTGGGCTGAATAATCCGCCCGCATCTGAGCGCACGTCAACATGGCGGCCGTTCGGTATATATTAGTAATAAATAGTTAATATCATGTTAAAAAATAATTTTTAATTTCAGACGCTGTTTTGTTCTCTGGTAATGGCTGCTTTTTGCTTGCGGACTTCGCCACTGCTGATGGAGGCAACTCAATGGAACTTATTAAATTCCTCATTGGTATGACCCCAGCGGTTAGCTGTAGCTAATCGGACGATTGGCTCTGCATGTGTGAGATTCCAAGCCAATCGCCACACACTTTGTGCCTACAGGCGAACTATATTCTAGGATATGTAGACGCTCATAGACATATGTAACGGATCGCCACATGCAATGGAAGCGAATGCTTTCTAAATCACAACGGAGAGAGCAACGGCTTTAGTAAATTTTAACGAAAAGGAACCATTTTAACGAAAAGGAAAATGGAGCACAATGGGTAACGATGTTCTCGTAACGCTGATCGTGATGGCAGCGATGACGTCGATGGTGACGATGCCGTTAGTTATAGAATTTTTAATACGTTCAACTTAATGATCTTACTCCTATAATAGACGCACTGAAGAAGAAGCACGGGCACAAGTTTGACATTCAAGTAATCCATGAAGATCAACCATCAAACGACTGGACATCGTTTTTCAAACGTGTGCAAGGTATATAATATATATAGACATATAGCCTATTAGTATATCCATAGGATATACGATAATTGTACGTCGTCAAAAAACGCTATAGTAATGAAAGCTGAAGGTACTTCACATAGGAGCTGGCATCTCTACTGAGAATGTAAATTTATCCATTTCAGCGAAATGGCTGTTTCAAGTAAATATACTCAGCTTTGCAATTGTACGGACACGGCACTCTACCGAAATATGCTGCTTGTGTGCGTGTTGGTGCGAGATAAGCCTACAAAAAACCTTCTCCTCTCTTTCACACGCAACATTAAGTGTAGTCTCGTGCTATACGTTGGCACACAAATGTTCTTGGTTCTCTAGTTATTGGGCGATATTTCGTCGCTATAAAAAAAATGGCCCAACGCTGTATGAAAACTCGAGATCGTCTAAGTTACATCTGGGTGAGTGCCGAGTAGAGGAACGTGGGGTAGCCCGCTGGGCTCCTAAAGTTTGATTGAAAAGCTAGCTAGAAACAGATATGGAAGCAGTGGCGATGTCTCGTATAGATGGTTCTGTGTATGAATATGTGATGAATTCAAACAAAGGTCCCAAGTTGAGAAAATCCAAGAAAGGGATCACTTGTGATAATGGTCCATCGCCGTTTTTTCGCGGTGCGCAAAAACAGGAAAAAAGTTGTGGCGGGCTGCGACATGTGTTTGTCGAGGCGCACCATCATTTTTTTAATAAAAATAAAGTATACATTTGTGGCCTTTTATTGTTCGCTGGAATCAAAGTACATCAACAACCATGGCAAATTTAGTAATTTACTCATGTAAATTTTGAAATATGGCTGAAAAATGTACGACCGGGACTTTCTGGACTCTTAACGGAGCCCCGGGACCAGCATGTCGCACCGGGACGATCCCGGTGAGACCGGGACACTTGGGACGTCTGTGGGGCATCACAGTATAAACATTTAGGCGATTTATATACTACACATTGCTTACACGTGTTGTGTAATAGGAGACAAGCGTGTACATCGTACACGTGCGCGCGCACGTACGCAAGCGTACGCACACACATACACACACGAACGCACGCAAACACACGCTCCCGTATAGCCCATAGACGCGTATATTGTGCACATAGATATATTACGAAGGTACGTACAAGTTAAGTGTTGTCGTCATCTGCTTCTGCTTCGTTACAGGTATGATTTCTGAGCCGGAAAGCTATCTCGTAGCCCATCCAGACGTGCAGGTATTCGCCAGCGGAACTTCCTTCTACGAGAAGTGCTTTTCCAACAACTCCGTACATTTTGCCTTCTCTGCTTCCGGAATGCATATCCTGTCGAAGCAGTGAGTTTATTTCCGTCATACAATTACCAGACAATTTAATATGATTAACACGTCGCTAATTCGACTCCTGTAACTTTGTCACGTGACTGATACACGTGACATAGACTATTTATACGTGAGATAGAGCTAGACTATTTAGATTCTGAGCTAAACAGGGAAGCGCGGTAGAGAATATTTAGTTGTAGATTGACGCTGTTGTGCTATGAAATCGCAAATCCCGACTCGTGGACGGCGTGTCAATCCCGATAAATTGACAGTATACGGTCTCAGGTCTAATATGCACCATAACAAAAAACGACATTTCAATACAAATTTCTCGTAAAGCAATAAAAGTTCGCAATAATCAATATACATTTCGTTGTAAAATTTTGCAATGAGAAAGTGCATGGATTTTTCCAACACAAACCAAATCTTAAATATCTGCGATGTCTATTATCACGTTTGAAGATAATGCCCCGTGCAATTATATTTATTGACAGTAATGTTGTTATTACTTTATTTTATTTTTTATTTTTTTATTTTTATTATACATTGGTAATTTATCTTAATATACTGCTCCATAATAAGCTTAATTATTGTCTGTAATTCTACTTTGTGTAAATTTGTAGCATGTTGAAAAAAATATGTTTCCTGAAGAGGACACCTACATATCATTGAAAAAAACGACCCTTAAAAATGTGGTTAACAAAGTGAACTAAATCCCTCTTAAGGTAACGTTTTTAGGTACGGAACACGATCACGGAGTTTTTTACGTGTTGCCTTAGCACGTGGGTTAACTATATGCTGTGTAATAGTCGTCGTCTACTATTTCCTTCTGCCACAGGCCATGTTTCGAGTCGTCTACTTCACTAAATGTGAGTTTCATGCATGCTGACGAGTTCCCGCACCACCTCCGCTATTGTTTATATCTCATGATATGAGGGATTTTCGCCATTTTTGGTCTTTCTTTTCCTCGCCAGGCCGTGCACGGTAACCGACGGTTTTCGACCGGCAGAAATCACCGTGGCTGAGGAACGAGAGATGTTTAAGCGGCAGGCGGCCGAGGATTGGGAGACCATCCTCGTACATAGAGCTAGAGAGCTGCGACCAGGTACAACGAAGATGAACTATACCCAGACTCCTACTTGACTACCATTACATCTGACATGCTCAACGTTTTAACTGCCGTTACTCCTAATTTCTCTCCCTAATCCTACTAGCCAAGTCTATTTGCTACATCACAATAATCATACCTCTATAATCTTAATATAATTCAATTTTCTAAACTTATCAATAACATTCATTCTAACCATAATCCTAACCCTACTCTACTCCTGACCTTATCCACATCCTAATTTCTAAGGCAAATTTTTAATCTTAATCATAATCTCATTCTTAAAGCTAATTTCGAACACTGACGCTAACCCTCTTACTAACCAAAATCTATAAGCATAGGTTTTAACTATAAGCGTGAACCTAGCCATAACCCAGATTTACAAGTCTAATTTCTAACCATAACCCTAAACCTAATCTGTAATTTCTGTCACGGAATCTCGAGTACTCCAGACGGATATACTACGCTGCTGCTGAGACCGTGAAAATGATCATGCTGTTACAGGTGGACGGCTGGTGATAGTTCCTTTCGCCACGGATAAAGATAAGCAGTACACGGGAAACACGAAACGTATTAAGTGCAATTGCTTCAACCTTTTGTCGAAAGAGTGCCGCGAATTGGTGAATAGAGGCGTTATTACTAAGGTATTTCCCATCGAAATAATACATAAGATAGGCTAATAATATTTAATCGAGTATTTTGGACACCAAACGTTTCTAGATAAATATTATAATAGGATCTCCAGCACAACCTAGGCTTTCCTCGCCACTACACTAAGACGTAGATTTGGGCTTTTCTTATAACCAATATGTACATATTTATCCTGTGTTGCGCTTTCAGGAAGAGTTTCAGAACATGAACCACAACGTTTACTATCGCACAGAGGAAGAACTGAAGGAGCCTCTGATCAATGTCGATTCTCCTGTTTATAAGCTTGGCCTCCGCCTGGTATCGATTGAAGTAAAGCAAGTCAACTGCTACTTCCAGGATAGATGGGTTGAAATCGGCGATAATGGTTAGTAAATGCACATTAGTTTGACATTTATGTACTGAGCAGTGCAGGTGTATAGGCTATACATGACGATGTGTAGCTATGTAATGCGGCGAGGCAACAGTATTTTAGAGCCGGGTGTAGGCGACAGCAGTCGCTGAGAAAAGCGTTTGATCTCTTACAAGGTCCATCACACCCGACGCCCATTCGATAGACATCGCATAAGCTGTTCTTCATTAGTACATGGTTCCCTGATTCTCGCTTACCTTTTCCCCATCCTCAGAGTCCTTATGATCCCTTTTCGTATTTGCTATAGATATGATACATCATACAAGCCCAGCCTATGTTCTACATATATATCGGTCTCTCGTGCCTGCTCTCTGGCTGTGTTGTTGTTTCCTACTGGCTACAGACCGTTTAGTTTGTCTCTTTTAGAGCTATAGTGGAGGTTGTCCATCCTCCGACAAAAGTAAACCCCCTGAATTGATTCATTTGAATTTGACCATACAATGCATCTAAAACTTTGACTTTTGCCTCGGAGAAGCTATACTACTTTGGTGTTTGTATCATTTTGCTGCCCCAGGTCGTCACCCCTTCTTCCCCTCGAAGTTGACAATTATCAGAAATTACCTTGCCCCCATATTATCTTTCTTCCCCGTGGATAGGTCCCTCAGTTTGTCCGAGCATGGGCTACACCGCCATGGCACATTATGGTCACAATTGGCTTGATCAGGAAAAGTAGGGGATTTCTTGCACCCAGTCGCAGCATGGCTGGCTAGCAATTCGGGGGGTCTTTATTGCTGATGTTTGCATGGTTACTGCCAGCCTGCTCTGTTTAGCTGTCTACGACCATTCACGGTCTTCCTTCTCCGCTAATTCTTGACCTACACTCATATCTCGGCCGTCTGGGTGTATACTCCCAAGCACAAGTTTCCAGACATAATAGTCGACTCTATTTGTCAGGGATGCACTAATGAAACAGGAACGCTCTAGTAACTAGAGTCTGTTCCAGTGATACTAATATGACTTCTCCTCTTGTAAAGTAGCAACAATATTGGCATCATTGGTATTCCCACACCAACTGCTTTGGCATAAATTATCCTGGCAAAAGTGAGGTCAGGCATCTGTGATTCCTAAATCTGGGTCAAGCTTCACTGGGAAGAGTCAGAGGTTTCCCCAGGAGGCTCAGGCTGGTCTAGCGATGGTCTTCCAGGCCAACGTCAGCTTACCTGTTAGACATGCTTCATCAGCATGTCCGCAGAATCCCACTTACATATCATACACGCTGCCACACTTCTCACGTCTCTTTCCACCTATAGGCAGTGGCGTATCTAGGGGGGGGGGCAAGGGGGGCACGTGCCCCGGACGCCATGTTCAGGGGGCGCAAAAAAGGCAAAGGTAAAAAAACAACGCAAAAAGGCAAAGGAAAAAAACAATCTGCTTACTAAATGATATCTTGAAATGATTCAATCCTTTATTTGACAAGTTGATTACCCAGGGGCGTGTACAGGGGGGTCCAGGGGGTCCGGACCCCCCCCCCCCGCTGCTCGCGCAGAAAACGCATCTAAGGGGGTCTATTTTCAAAAAATGTCTGGGGGAGGGCCCCCCGGACCCCCCCTTCGCGTTCTCACACGTTTGGGTTACGGTTACACCCCTCCCCCTGGTACAAATCCTGTACACGCCCCTGTTACCTGGACCTGGGATAGTAGCTGTAGTTTAGAAGTATTGGCATCCTAATCTGAGGAACAACCAAAAACAACATTTCATTTTTTTTCTTCATTTTTTTTATTGGCGTCAGAAGTTGGAAGGGGGCAATTTTAGCACTTGCTCCGGGCGCTGTTTTTCCTAGATACGCCTCTGCCTATAGGTGGTGTCTACCCAGGACACGCTAGTTAGGAGGCCCGACACTGTTGCAAACTCAGCAGCTGAGTATATGGGTAGGTGTTTCTATCCATTAATAGTCTTCTACTGCAATCATATTCTGTCCATGTCATTTTAATTCTGTCCATTCATAATCCTGATACACACATATTTACATGATGTTTTATCGTACTGCAATAAATCGTTATAAATCGACGCCGCCTACAATTCCTAACAATTCCTACCTGATGTGTATAGTATTTATCGTGTGCAACAGTTTTTGTTTGCTTTTTAGATGTAAAGACGTGAATGCTAATCATTTTTTAATTATTTATTTAACTGCCAGGTGACATTGCTGAGGCCCGTGCTCACGCGAAGTCGTATGTTAGTTCGTTTCGCATTTGGGCGCACAGCGATTTGCTTCACGGTCTATCCGATAGCCGTTCACCCGAAGAGAAGGCAAATATCCTCGACGCCTTCTTCCAGAGTTTTGAGGATGCAGTGGCAGAGAATCCGCGAGACCATGGCAAGGATTATATTGTTGCTTATGTTCATATGAGAAAACTGGAATGATATTTTAGTAGATTTTAACACATGCAATTTGGTGTTTAATGGGGAATTGAAGCGCGTCATGTAGTTAACCAACAGTAAAATCATGTAATAATCTTCACTATATGTGGCGGATCAAAACTCGGGGGTCTAAACACAAAAGTGTAAACTCACATAAATAACAAATAAATAAATAAAACTCAACATATATAATAATGCTGCGAATAGTGTACGTGGTAAATTAATTATCTATTGCGTGACGTTGCTCTCTTTCATGACAATGCGGTCCTTCACCAAATCATGTTCTTGACACCTTTGTGTTCTCACCGCGTGTCATCATGATCGGGCTACTGATCAATCCCAGATTGGTTTTCACTTGATAGTAATCATCACGTGACCACCCTAGCATCTCTCCATGGATGCTTTTCATAGCAAAATCAACAACACAAGAGCATCAATAATCTAATCTAAATTAAACTAACCACTCTTCCTTTATTCCCATTGGGCACTTTATGTAAGTATTGGATAGCGCCATATTTCCCCAACGCATGGGAAAGGCATATGTCCTGGTGGCAACGACCATCATAAATTAATATTCTTGTTGACTTTGAGTTCATTTGCCAGGTGAATAGTCAGATGCAGCTAATGTACGTAATAGAACGAGCGTAGCAGCAGATCAAAGCAGAGGGGCGCAGCTCAGGCAAGGGAAGGGAAAATATGACATTCACTGCTTGTACCTGTGTCATTCACCGGTGTGGAGGAAACGCAAGCAAAATTGTGGTTCGAATCTCATTGGCTTCACTCGCTCCCTTCGCAATCTTCATGTATGATCATGCTGAGAATTATGAGGCGGGTTGTAGTCAGGACAATTTTAGTATTATTATATACACATATACACATATGTACACATATGTACACATATGTACACATATGTACACATATANGCATTTGGGCGCACAGCGAATTGCTTCACGGTCTATCCGATATTTGCCTTCTCCTCGGGTGAACGGCTATCTCGCGGATTCTCTGCCACTGCATCCTCAAAACTCTGGAAGAAGGCGTCGAGGACACCAAATTGCATGTGTTCAAATCTACTAAAATATCATTCCAGTTTTCTCATATGAACATAAGCAACAATATAATCCTTGCCATGGTTTAATGGGGAATTGAAGCGCGTCATGTAGTTAACCAACAGTAAAATCATGTAATAATCTTCACTATATGTGGTGGATCAAAACTCGGGGGTCTAAACACAAAAGTGTAAACTCACATAAATAACAAATAAATAAATAAAACTCAACATATATAAAAATGCTGCGAATAGTGTAGGCCCTACCGTCACGCAATAGATAATTAATTTATCAATTGCTCTCTTTCGTGACAATGCGATCCTTCACCAACTCATGTTCTTGACACCTTTGTGTTCTCACCGCGTGTCATCATCGGGCTACTGATCAATCCCAGGTTGGTTTTCACTTGATAGTAATTATCACGTGACCACACTAGCATCTCCACATGGATGCTTTTCATGGCAAAATCAACAACACAATGACATCAATAATCTAATCTAAATTAAACTAACCACTCTTCCTTTATTCCCATTGGGCACTTTATGTAAGTATTGGATAGCGCCATATTTCCCCAACGCATGGAAAAGGCATATGTCCTGGTGGCAACGACCATTATAAATTAATATTCTTGTTGACTTTGAGTTCATTTGCCGGGTGAATAGTCAGATGCAGCTGATGTACGTAATAGAACGAGCGTAGCAGCAGATCAAAGCAGAGGGGCGCAGCTCAGGCAAGGGAAGGGAAAATATGACATTCACTGCTTGTACGTACCTGTGTCATTCACCGGTGTGGAGGAAACGCAAGCAAAATGCATGTATGATTATGCTGACAATTATGATGCGGGTTGTAGCCAGGACAATTTTAATGCCGGCTAATATCAGTGATTGCGAGCGTAGTGCATGAGCGGAGCGAACGGCGCTTACTGTGCGCTGTACGATGTGATCAGATGATGATTTTACGCATAATTGTTGTTGAGATTAAACTCAGAGTTGTTTTTTAAATTAATTTAAATTAGTGTATCAGTTATGATTATTTGTAGATTGCTCACTATGTTGAAGGTAATTTTACACAAACTCAATCATTTTTGGGCGGGTCGGAAGGATGTTATTTAAAGCTGCGTACCGGTCGGCCAACACCAGAGCCGGCTATTACCGACCGGCGCCGACCAGCGTAGCAACAATGGTGAAAATTACGGTAAAATGTCAAACAGCAGTAACTCAAAGGGAAGATTAGAGGTAAGCATTATGGAACGTTAGAAACGTTTACTTTCAATGCTAGCTTATTGTATAAACTAACATTTCATATACTAGTAGTCATTTCAATAAAGTACTAGAATTCATTACTGCACGATGTACTTTCCAGCGATATGAGAGGCGTTTACTAACATTTTGACCATCCGGAGGAATAAAAACTTATTTTATTAATGTCAACAACAAAGACTTTCACTAAAAAGGGAACACACCTGTGTTTATAGGAACGTTCTCAATTTGATACATTTCAAGATTTCAGATTTTATGATCAATTTGTATTTGTTTTCTCTTCGTGTAACATTTTCAGTAGATTTCATAACACCCAGTAAACGCATGTGCTTATGCTATATGTGCCTGGTCCGTAATTGAACACTTTATACCCCTTTGTATAATGTGTTGAAAATAATTAGGATTAGGTCTACAACTCCGTTTTTGGTGAGAACTGTGTAATGTGCTTAGTCTATAATAATCCGGAGTAACAGCATTTAAACAAATTACTCTTCGCTTAATTTCTGCTTAAAATTAGGAGGAAATATACACGCCATTCACATCGCAGATGAGTGTGATTTTTTTAAACTTGATATCAAAGCCACTGAAACTATTTTCACGGAACAGCTCCCTCGCTGGTCGGCCTTGATATTGACATCTAGTATTGTGCAGCATCTCTCTGCTATATATGGCACGCAGCAGTAGGCTGCCGCCCACTGAGCTATATATAATAACACCATTATTATATACTGTTATTATATACTGTTTTTATATACTGTTATTACATACAGCTCAGTGCTCCCACCAATTGTTCGCAAAGGTTGCACTATTGTATGTATGTAAACGGGCCGCCGCCTTCTCTATTTTTGTGGTAATATCTGGCATTGGAATGTGTGATTTATAGCTACTTTTACGCTGATTTATATCCTACTAGCGTGCATTATGCACGTAAGATAGCTGCTCGATCTATACACGCCTATAAAGTATGAAAAGTAAAATTTGTTTGGGGGAAATTTCTGCGATTCTGCCAAGCTTGTGCTCGGGGTTATACGGTTAGGTTTGAACAACGGGATCCGGAAAATTGCTGAAAATGTGCACCATGTCGCTGGCAAACGTTTAGAGTGAAGTTTGGACATTAAATATTTTTTATTATTTAGCATGAATAAAGACTACATTGCTTATGCAAGTATTTTAATTACTGTTGGTGTTATGCTGATTCGAGCCCGTTGTATGTACACTCCACGCTGTGTGATGATCATCACACTGCGTGGAGTGTAGTTGTATGCGGACGCCATCTTATAATGAGAAATAATTGCCCAATGGCGACCATATACTAAGCTAAAAATCCCCACAAAATAGACACTTTGTAAAATTATATTAAAACCCAGTGAAATTTTATTGCAAGGCACAATATAGTGCCTACATATATTGTTAACTGAGATATACGACCATATTTCTTGCAAGATTTTTACGAAAAACCAGCCAATTCTCGGTGTGCTCTTACAGTGAAAAGAAGTGATTTGGCATGTGCATTTTTAATCCGGCCACGAACGCAAATAGAAAGAGCCAACAATCAGCCGTATAAAACGTGAAGTCTAGTTTTCGATAATAACTATAATTCCCATGCATGCAGCCTGTCTTGTTTGAGAGATTAAACGCAATTGTCTCAGTCTGTGCACTTACGTCGTCTGTGCACGTACGTCGAACGTTGAATTATTGCACTGCATTCAGCGATGTTGATTTTCATCGTCCTAGGGACAATTATCCAGGGGGGGGGGAAGGTAGTAATTGTCTGGGGGAATTTCCCGATAGACGATTGTCCGGTAGTAATTGTCCAGGGAGTAATTGTCCGGCGGGTGATTGTTTTTTGGTAATCGTCCGGAGGGGGTGATTGTTTTGGGGTAATCGTACCGGGGAAGGGGATTGTCCAGAGGATAATTGTTCGGGGGCAATTGTGCGTGGGGGGATTGTCCGGGGGATTATTGTCTAGGGTGGGGGTGATTATCCTGATACTGAAAAATAGGGTAGCTGGAAGATGATCGATTCACGTCTAGCGGTAACATTGCCACTGTCTGAACTAAATTTCTGAACGTCATTATTATGTCAACTTAGCAAGCTGCAATTGATCCAGTGAAATTTACGAGATTCTGTAATAATATCAGGGCTAGAATCTTAGTCGGGCCAAATAATTGTGATACGCAGACCTCCCGCTCATTGGCGGCCTATATGAATTGTGTTGAATACAGAATACTAGCGGGCATTATTACATTTCAAGTATTTTTCCTTAATATTGAATTGCAGGTTTATATGTGTTCTCCGATTGCCACCTTCCTGTATGCGTCCGAACTCGCTACAACTACCACCTCGTCCACGTTAGTAGCTGCTGTAGTGTGTCATGTGTTTTTTGTGTTTGGTTGAGCCTAAATATATTGTGCACTGATAGATTGTTGTAATGGCTCGTGTAATTTAGCACATGCAAAATCGAGCCATATATACTATTACATAGGCGCACACACACAAATTGCAACATCACTTTCTTGATTATTTTAACCCAGGACAAGCGGAGAAAACTACCACGCCCTGCCCAAGGATAGTCAGCACATTACAGTCTACAGCTCTAGTCAGTAGCTCTAGTCTTACAGGTCTATAGTCAGCTCAGTACATGGCCTCCTCAACTATATATACTAGTTTTATTCAAGATTGGTCGATAAATTCTTGAATTTTTGAATCTGGCACTTAATGGTGTATCAACGTTAAACTGTCGTCGTTTTTCTTAAAATCGATCAGCTTTGCCTGTGGTTGTATAGCGGATTGCATGTATACGGACAGGCCGCCGGGGAGCGTTC